TCCCAGGCCCACTGATAAACGCCAAGCATATATTATCTCATGGGATCCTCATAATCTCGTGGGGTGGAAACCATCACCCCCATTTACAGATGAGAAAACAGACACAGAGCTTAAGAAATTTCTCCAGAATCTTACTAGCTTCTAAGGGTCAGAGGTAACATTAACATTCAGGTCTGCAGTCTTCAGCGCCTGCATCTGTAACCGCTTACAGAACAGTCCAGTTGTTTTTTTTTTTTTTTGTTTGTTTGTTTTTGAGAGATTTTCACTGTAGGGCGCGTGTGCTCGCCAGACAGAGAGAGACATAGAGACAGAAAGCGAGAAATCACCCCCCAGGGGGGATGGTCACGCCGCAATCCCTTCTCCTCCATTCTCCTCTCGGGATCTTGGGCACGCACGCACACGCGCCCGGCGTGAGTTTTAAGCCACCAGGTCCGGGACACGAACCGCGGTCGACTACGTGGGAGTCCAGCGACATAGCCATTACGCTAACTGCTGGTTCCCAGTCCAGTTGTTTTTTATCATTCGCTGCTTTGACCAGGACCTGCCTTATTTGTCATGTAAGTGACTTCCCTGTGTACAATCGAATTTACTAGGGTTCTGTGTTCCTTCAATTCTAAGATGCCATCAATTTTTATTACACTATTAGTTTTAAAATATTTCATTGTGATAAGATATATATGTAAAATTTAGCATCTAATGACTGGGTTGTCTGGAAAATTATGACATATCTTTGCATAGAAAAACACAGAAAAGCACATCATGCCCTTTCCCCACAACCTAATATTTTTGAGTGTACAGCTGAATGGTATGAAGGACGTTCACACTGTTTTGCAGTCATCACCATCAACCATCTTTTCATCCTGCAAAACTGAAACCTTGTATTAATTACCTCCCCATTCCCCCTTCCATTGGCAATCACCCTTCTACTTTCTCTAGGAAGCTGACTATTCTATTATAGATCGAATGGCTTATGAATGAAAAAGGAAGGAATAAAGGAAGGGAAGGAGAAGAAAGGAAAAGAAGGAACAATCTTAGATATTTATTCTCATTTTAAAATATGACATATCTCAACTTCTGAACTACTAGATAGGAGAAATACAGTATTAGCAGCAAATCGTTCAACTGTAAGCATAAAACTCTTGCTTACAATTGCTGATTCTCAATGCTGGCTCAAATGTCCTTTAGTTCTACAAGTAGAGTCTACCATGGTGGGTGTGTGGTGCCTGCTCCTGTTATCCCAGCGCCATTCCCACGTTCCTCTTTTCACTTTGGCTTTTGCACGCTGTCATTTTTCTTCTTTAATTCTTCCAATCTCTGTGTACTTGAGATAAAACAAGCTCATATGGAAGTTTTGGGATTGAGATGAAAAACAAATATCTAATAGATGTAAATAAGTTCAGTAACAACAAAAACCCTCTCTCTCTAGACCCACGTCTAGCTTATTTTGTTACTGTTTTTTTAGGATGAAAACTGTCTTCCAAAGTTTTGTAAAGTAGCTGTCATTCTGTGGCATTCTCAAGTTTAAAGTGTCAAATGTTGGTAGAAAACCACCAAAAACACAAACCAAATTCTATCCAAGGAATACACTGAAAACATTTAGTTTACTCACACGTGTATGCCCCTTTATCATTCACAGACCATCACACATAGCAGATATAATTCCTGACCACCTGACGTATGTCAGTATCATCCTAGGCACCAGATATACAGTGGGTATTGTTTTTTAAAATGAAGGAAAATGTCTTATTCATAAAGCTTACATTCCAGTTGCAAAGCTATAATAGAAAAGAAGAGCTACAAACCTAACAAATAGTACACAAGAAAGTGGTGAATGCTAAGAAAAAAATAAAGCAGGGAGATGTAATACAAGAATGAATGTGTATAATTTCAGATGAGGAGAGTGAGGAAGGACTCAATGAAATCAAGACTTCTGAATAAATAACAGTGTGGAGGAGCTAGCCATGCAGATATCAGGGGAAAGAGACCAGATTTCTAGAACCAGCTGGTACGAAGGCCCTGAGGCCAATATCCCTGCATGTCTGAGACTCTGGGAATAAGTCAGTGTGCCTGGAATGGAGTGAAAAGGGGCAGATGTAGTGAGGGAGGAGGTCAGAAAGCAAAGGGGAGTAAATTCTGCAAGGCCTCACAACCTGCATGAGCACTTTGGCTTTCATCTTCCTAGACGACACATTTGGCAGTTTATGAAAAAGTGGTGAACGACATGATCTAATTGATATTAAGATACGATCATCACCCCTTTTTATCATTCCCAGGAATACCTTCAGAGAATAGAGGATTAACATATTCATGGAAATGTTTTGGACACAAGTCAAAACTTCAGTCCCAGGTTCTCTTAAGCAATGGTTGGCACTGGTGGCCTCTGGACCCTAGCCAATAGTAAATTCCTTCCTCACTATGCGCTGAATGATCAGAACAAGAGGGAGTAAAGAAAGGGTAAGACAGGAAGTAGAAGTAGACGAAGGAATATACTAGAAAACACATAATTTTGGAGAAGGGCACAATCCCCAAAGAAATCAACAAACCTGGTCTGTCAAAGCTCTGGAGGAGAAATTTACAGAGCAAATACGAAGCACAATAATAAGGCATGGTGCATGTAGAAAAGCAGGTGTCTCCCATCACCAAGGTCGTGTGGCTGTGTTACCAGTGAAAGGGGGGGTGGCACTATTTGTACGCAGAAGCAGAGAGGAGCTGGGATGGGGACACGAGCTCACTCTGAACAGAACTGGTTGGGAGAGCTAGTATTTGTGTCACATCACATGAAAAATGTTTTAGCTGTAGTACTGGTAAGGTTTCCAGAGCAAGCAGCTTGTATTTCTGCTACAGATCTAAAAATAGATCTTGAGTCTCTCATACAACTTTCATATAAACACAATGAACTCATATAAGTGTAGTAAATGCTTCTTACTGAAAATCGAATATCCTTTAAGTACTGACAAAATATCACCTTTCCTATCTTCTCCTTTGAATCTGTTTTTGTGGGCCAACAGGTATTGTGCTGGCTAAGGCACAGGATCCCACATGGCCGGCTATATGGTTCAAGTCCCGGACTTAGCAGCTTGAAATTTACTCTGGGCATGTGTGTGCCCAAAATCCTGAGAGGAGAATGGAAGAGAAGGGATTGTGGTATAACCATCCCCACTGAGGAGTGATTTCTCACTCTCTTTCTCTCTCTGAGGTGAGCATATACACTCTATAAGGAAAACAAAAACAGGAAAAAAAAATCTGTTTTTGTGACATTCTTCAGACTGTATGTGTCTGATACATATTACACCATGCTATTTGCCATTGTGTCAATTTTTGGGAAGGCTGCCTAGAAAGAAGCCTCATTACCATTTGAAGCTCAACTCCACAATTTGACTGAAGAATTGAAATGACTGCTACATACCACTAGATGGCACTTCATGTCAAATACCACTATAAACCTCTGCTGCTTTTTGAAATGTCTATTCATTACCGTTTCCATTTAAAACTGCTATTGGGTCTTTTACAGTGAACGTATCTATTACAGAGAAAGTATCTGTAATACCATGTTCAGGCTCTTTCCTTTATGGGACTACTTGTTCTAAACCACGGTAGGTCATTCACAAATAGTCCATTTTCTTCAGGTAAACTGTCGGTACTCATAAAATGTACATGAATAGCACTTTAAAAGAAGCTATCCCGGGAACCAGCAGTTAGCGTAATGGCTATGTCTCTGGACTCCCACGTAGTCGACCGCGGTTCGTGTCCCGGACCCGGTGGCTTAAAACTCACGCCGGGCGCGTGTGCGTGCGTGCCCATCCCCCCTGGGGGGTGATTTCTCGCTTTCTGTCTCCATGTCTCTCTCTGTCTGTCTGGCGAGCGCACGCGCCCTACAGTGAAAATCTCTCCAAAAAAAAAAAAAAAGAAGCTATCCCTGGGCTAACCCCACAGTGCAATGATTAAGCACTGTACACAAAAAGCTGATACCAGGGGCCAGCAGATGGCGTGGTGGTTAAGGGTGCTGGACTTCCACACAGCCAACCGTGGTTCAAGTTCCAGACCTGGTGGCTTGCTTTCTCACTTTCGCTATTTCTCTTTTTTTTTTTTTTTGAGAGGTTTTCGCTATAGGGCGCATGCGCTCGCCAGACAGACAGAGAGAGACATAGAGACAGAAAGCGAGAAATCACCCCCCAGGGGGGATGGTCACACCGCAATCCCTTCTCCTCCATTCTCCTCTCGGGATCTTGGGCACGCACGCACACGCGCCCGGCGTGAGTTTTAAGCCACCGGGTCCAAGACGCGAACCGCGGTCGACTACGTGGGAGCCCAGCGACATAGCCATTACGCTAACTGCTGGTTCCCACTTTCTCTAATTCTTAAAAAATAAAAGCTGATCCCACATGGCCACCTATGATTCAAATCCCAGCCTAAGACCATGGAAAGCCATTTTATGCACATTTGTGCCCAAATCCTGATGAGATGAAGAAACAGAAGAAAAACGGGAACCAGCACTTAGTGTAATGGCTATGTCGCTGGACTCCCACGTAGTCGACCGCAGTTCGTGTCCCGGACCCGGTGGCTTAAAACTCATGCCGGGCGCATGTGCATGCGTGCCCAAGATCCCGAGAGGAGAATGGAGGAGAAGGGATTGCGGTGTGACCATCCCCCCTGGGGGGTGATTTCTCGCTTTCTGTCTCTATGTCTCTCTCTGTCTGTCTGGCGAGCGCACACGCCCTACAGTGAAAATCTCTCCAAAAAAAAAAAAAAAAAAAGAAACAGAAGAAAAAGGACTACAGTGTGACCATGCCCCACTGGGAGATGCTTTAAGCATGTGCACCACTGACAATTCAAAAATCAAAGTAAAGTTACTCTTATGTTAAAAGGGAATTAGACTATCCTGAGGAGTAAAATCAGGGAACATCTGTGGCCTTAACAGTTTTTTCTTGTTCTAATCAGCCAGTCTACAGAGAAGCAAAGGATTCACAGCACAGATTTGTAGCATGCAGACGTCTCTCTACCATTTGACTCTGGAGCCACTCGATGAGCGTTTCTGCTGTTGAATCTGGAATCTGGCACCTCAAGCCTTCCTTCTCATCGGTGTCCATCATCTCCAACAATCCACGCAGGTCTTCCACAAGGTGCAATGCTCGCAAGCTTCCCATGAACGGAGAGGTGGGAGACTGGCAATCGAAAATCCCATTGGAATATTCCAGGGCCTTAGAACCTAGGTTAAAAAAAGCAGAGAGAGCAGTGGGTTTCATGTTAGATAAAGCGCTACAACAGAGGGGGTGAACCCAGTCATGTCACAGTGAGGAATAATCAAAACCAGGAACAGGAAAAAGATAATAACTTAGCCATGTAAATCTCTCTAATTTATGGTTATCTGATCTAAAAATGAAAATCATATCATTGATGGGGAGTGCTATGCTTCAACACCTGGTAAGATGGCCTACTGGATGGTACAGAAAGAGAGTGTGGTGGACTATGGTGTGAGGTGTGCCGGCCTTCTGGAAGCAGTGCTAAGGTGGCAGCAGATCAGCTAAGGCAGAGCCATGCATCCCCCCAAATACAAACTTTTAGAGATCACAAAGTCTTCAAATTCCCAGAAAAGGAGTTACACACTGAGGTGGAAATTGCATAGCCTCTTTATTATTATTATTGTTATTTAAAAAATATTTTAGAGAGATTTTTGCTGTAAAGCACATGCACTCACCAGACAGAGAAATGGAAAGAGAGAAATCACTCCTGGGGGGATGGCCATACTGCAATCCCTTCTCCATTCTCCTCTCGGGATTTTGGGCATGTGTGCACACACACGTACGGCATGAGTTTTAAACCACTGGGTCCAGGACTCAAACTGCAGTCGATTACATGGGAGTCCAGTGACAGAACTGTTATGCCATCTGCTGGTCCCAATATAGCCTAATTTCAAAAGTAAGAGGCCAGCTCCTAGTTAACATGTCAGAATTTAATCTCTGAAGTTCTGTGAATCACATATGCACTTGGATAGGCATGTGTAGGCACGTGTGAATAAACATTTTCCCCCATGATTTTATTTACAGTCTAACAAAAAGTGCTCTTGTTAACATCAGCTTTCAAAAACATATTAGCCATTCTTGTTTTCTACTACAGGTACTTAAGTTCACACAACTGACCCACAGCCCATTCTGAAAGCAATGACATGTACCTCTTCACTGCTTTGATTTTTTTTTTTTTCTGGTCTGTCAGATACCAATAACTATGATTTTTAGGCTATCTCCTTGTAAGTTGGAGGGCTACAATTAGACAACACCCACAAACCAGTGTGTGAATCTCTTCTCAAATGACCAGTTTTAACAATGGTAAGGAGAACTGTCTTTCAGTAGTCCATTCTGCTGATCTTCCTAATTACTGGGTGTCAAATGATTTGAACCCAAATTACCAAACTATAAGAACCATCACTGTCGATAGGCTAGATCCAGTGCGAAATGCTTGCAAAACCCTTGGAATCAATTCCCTCTGGAACTCCATCAGGAAGGCCGAGATGAGAACCTACTCAGAAATATATGAATCGCGGGACCAGCAGGGGGTGTGGTGGTTAAGGGTGCTGAAATCCCACGTGGTCAACCATGGATTGAGTCCTAGGCCTGGCAGCTCACTTTCTCACACTCTGCCCCCCCCCCCTTATTTACTCTGTCTCTCTCTGGTCAAATTTAAATACATACATACAGTTAAATAAAATAATTCTTTAAAAGAAAAGAAATATCTGGATTGAGGAGAAGATGCCAGAGGATGGAAGAATAAAAGAACGTTACAATCTAGGCAGGCTATATCTCATACCAGCAGTCTTAAGCATCAAGATCACCTGATGATAAAGGTACATATGCCCCCAACAGCCCTCCATTCTGTTAAGTCTCCTTCACAAAACAAGGCGGGTATATGGATGAGGCATCTATTTGGGAAAATTCCCCAAATACTTGTACTCATTTCTGCTTCTCTCCTCTCTACTTCAGCTGAACTATCAACAATAATTTGAAAACATAAAACCAGGTGCTACCAACAAAATTCCTCACTGACTCAGTAGGAGGTAGGACCTGGGCAATCGCTACTTTTTTTCATAACTCTAATGTTGGACCTAAAGTCTTAGTAGGACTAAGAAACAAATGGTCTTGGGGTTAGCAGGTGGCATGGCGGTTAAAGGCTCTGGACTCCCACATGGTCAACTACGGTATGAATCCTGGACCTGGGGGCTTGTTTTCCCACTTTCCCCCTCTCTCTCTGTCTAATCAAACTGAAAAACAATAATAATAATAAATAAATAAATAAATAAAGTTAAATAAAATAATTCTTTTTAAAAAAGGAAACAAATGCATTCATCCAATGGAATATATAAAATGTAAATCTTTCCATTCCTATTCCAGAAATATCATTTCTCTCAAGTAGAGTCTTTTTTGGGGGGAGGGAATTTGCTAATAGGACGCTGGTGCTAGCCAGAAAGAGAGACAGAAAGCGAGAAATCATCCCCCAGGAAGGATGGGCACGCCGTAATCCCTTTACCTCCATTCTCCTCTTGGGATTCTGGGCACACACACACACACACACGCACGCACCCAGCGTGAGTCTAAGCCACCGGGTCTGGGACTCAGTCTATGGTCGACTACATGGGGGTCTGGTGACATAGCCATTACGCCAACTGCTGGTCCCTCAAGTAGAGTTTTTCTAAGAATGTATGCTTATAAGCTCTAGCAAGAGCCTAGAATTAGTTTTAGTTATGTTTTTTGAAATTATAACAAAGAAAGCCCTGTCTTCTTTCCACTTAACAGTCCTTCAACTATTTGAAAGCATATATCATGTCCTGAGAAAGAATATACTTTTCTACATTAAACTTTACCAGTTCCTAATCACGTTTGGTTGATAAACTCTTTACCTCCATGTTCACCTTCTCTAGACAAATTGGAACTTGCCAATAAATCTTTGAAGATGATATTTAACAAACTAAATAGGATCTAAATCTACAAAAGATGCCAAACTAAAGTCAGATCTCCAGGACAAATAATAAACTATGGTATGCCACTTCCTCGGGAAGGAAAAAACCTCTTAAACAGGAAAATATTTAGAACGACAAAACAGAGTAGGGTCAAATTCATGACCAGAAAGGATAAGCAGTTGGGGTTGGGACAACTAGAACCAGGAGTGGTCGAGTCCATGCGTCCCCTGACCCTGGCCATTCAGTGAGTGACAGCCTCACTCAAACCCATATTCAACCCTCTCCTCACGGTAATGGGTTTCTAAACACATAGAAGTATCCTTGTGAGACAAAAATATCATAATGTGGCTTTAGACAGTAGGTAGCCACCACTCCTGGAGACCATGAAGAAGCACAGAGGGGTCACCTCCTAGCCAGGCCTCTCTGCCACAGTGAGAAAGCCAGGAGGTGGTGATCTCCTGCCTTGCTCTGCTTTCACAGTACAGTGGTTGAAGATTCTTGACAAGAGCAATATGATAAAATCGGCACTTTAAAGAGGAGATACTGGTCGGGACCAGCAGTTGGTGTAATGGCTATGTCGCTGGAGTCGATATGGTTCGAGTCTCAGACCTGGTGGCTTAAACTCATGTCGGGCACGTGTGCGTGCATGCCCAAGATCCCGAGAAGAGAATGGAGGAGAATGGATTGTGGCGTGGCCATCCCCCCTGGGGAGTGATTTCTCGCTTTCTGCTCTCTATGTCTGTCTTTCTGGAGAGTGCACACGCTCTACAGCAAAAACCTCTCCCCTCCCCCCCCAAAAAAAAAGAAAAACAAGGAGATACTGGTAGTGGAGAGAAAGATGGACTGGAACAGGAAAGCAATAGTCTCGGACATCAAGTGGGGTTACTCAGACCTACGAAGATAGTGGTAGCACAGACAGGACAGGTTTTAGGGAGGGTAAAAAGAGAAGGCAGAATCTGGTATGGAGACGAATTGATAGAATTTGATTAAAAGGAATACAGGAGGGAGAACGGTGTCTAGAATTACCTTAAATCTGATCTAAGAAACTTTGTATGGAGAGTTACAAAATGAACCAGGATAGAACTCGGAACAAAAGGAACTTCCAAAGGAATCATGGTGAGTTCGGTATTTTGAATGACACTAATGTGCCTAAGGATATTTCAGGGGAAGATATCTGGATGGTGGCTAGCAACATGGCCCTGAAGTTTAGCAAAGAACAGGGAAAGTAAACGTAGTCATGAGTCGCTTTAATGACGTGGAGACGTTCTGGGAAATGGGCCTCTAGATCAGCATTGCATGAACATCAGCGCGTACTTACTTGAGTCGAGATGGTGTAGCACACTAGGCTATAGGCTACACACCTAGGCTATGTGTATAGCCTACACACTTCTTATAGGGCCACAGTTGTCTATGCCTTCTAGCCCACTGTTGACTAAAACATTGTTATTCATGACTGTAAACGTGTCATTGTGGAAGGTGAATGTTGAGTTCGAGGGAAAAGATTAGAACACTCATGGGTATTGGTTAAAGGAATGTCTATCAAAGTTTAGTCCACAGACTACTGACATCAAAACCACCTGAGATATAGATACTTTATCCTTGCTCGGAAATCTTAAGATGGAGTTGGACTTTTTTGGGGCCAGCAGTTGGCATAATGGCTATGTCACTGGACTCCCACGTAGTCCACCACAGTTCAAGTCCCGGACCTGGTGGCTTAAACTCACGGTGGGCCCGTGTGCGTGTGTGCCTGAGATCCCAAGAGGAGAATGGAGGAGAAGGGATTGCGGTGTGGCCATCCCCACTGGGGGTGATTTCTCGCTTTCTGTCTCTATGTCTCTCTCTGCCTTTCTGGTGAGTGCATGCGCCCTATAGCAAAAACCTCTCAAAAAACAAACAAACAAAAAGATGGAGTTGGAATTTTTGACATTTTAGATAAAATTTGAAAATAATGTGGGCAGAAAATAGAGAAGAGGAACAAAGATGAAACTACAAGACCTAAAGGCATTACAGGGAGTCAATAAATGAAAATAAGAAGGTGAAAAGGTAAGAAGAGAACAGTAACGAAAAACCCGAAGAGCAGAATAATTGTCACGATCCCGTCTTTCAGAGGGTGCAGATTACCTGCTATGATACCATCCATCTGCTCCAGCGCCGCGGCCAACATGTCACTTGCATCACTCATCATTTTCTTATTGATCAAGACCAAATTCCAACCTAGAGTTGAAAAAAATACTGATGTTATCATTGTGTCCTTTAAATGGCACATGCTTGATAGTGCACTTACTAATTCAATTTCAAATAACTCCATGCAGCAGTCAAACATGGAGACAGCATTTCAGAAATACTGGACATGGATTTAGTGAATCATTTAACAGGCAGTGGACAACTGTCTACTGTAGTGCAAGGCCACAAGCTCTACCTGTGTCAGCACATACAGACGCTTCAGTTTTGCACTCAGAGTTGTAAAATCCAGTAGAATGGGTTCTGTGTCACACTCCTTAGAGCTCTAGGACTCTCTGAAGGGCACTGGAGATAGCTATGGAACCTGGCCGAGGGCTAGGAAGGGGGCTGGACAGGCAAGACATCTTTCTCTTCACACTAGTTCCATTCAGTCTTTCATCTTGTTTTGCCTTTTTTTTTTTTCCTTTTTAAATTTCTTTCTATATAAGGGTTTATCATAAGATCTGTTCAAGGGTTCACTAGCACATAGTAAGGAAGGCTTTAAAATAAAGTTCATGGAAGGGGCCAGTAGGTGGTTCAGGGGCGAAGGCACTGAACTCCCACAGGGCCGACCTTGGTTCAAGTCTTGAACCTGGTGGCTTGCTTTCTCACTTCCCCTCTCTCTCTCTCCCCCGAGCACATATGCCCTAGAGAAAATTTTAAATAATAATAATAATCACAATAAATAAAATTAAATAAATCTTTTTTTAATTCGTGGACAATTTTAAACTTTTTAAAAAGATTATTTTATTTAACTTAAAAAAAATTTTTATTCATTTTAATTTGACCAGAGAGGGACAGAGTGAGAGAGAGAGGGAAAGTAAGGAAGCCACCAGGTCCAGGACTTAAACCATGGTCAGCCATGTGGGAGTCTAGCGCTCCTAACCACCATGCCACCTGCCAGCCCCCATGGACAATTTCATTATAATAAAATTATATATGGATTTCACACTTTTTCACACCAAATCAATTTATACTTTAGTTACATTTTTCCATGAACTTTCGGAAGGTCCCCTTTTAACACACACCACTAGTATATCGGTATATGATAAAGTAACAATTACCATCATGTATTCAGAGCCTACAGTGTCCCTAAACATTTATAATACGTAAGCCATCCATTACCCTTAATCATGATAACAAGCCTATAAAATGGATCAATTCACCTCTATATTATAAGTGGGGATTGAATAAGTTTGATTTTTGCATAAAAACAGAGCTCATAAACATAGCAAAGATCAGTTATTAACCTAGGCTTGTCTGAGGTCCATGATAATATTGACTTGTTTATCTGGTCCTATCTGAAAGATAGGTTTATGCTGAAATTGTGTCACAGTCTACCCACTGCTTTACCTGTTCAAATATATGAGATTATGCTTATAAAAAATTTGGTCATTTACAGGAAAAAGTTAAGGTTACGATTTTCAACATGAATTAACATATTTCGGGTACCAGAATAAGCACCCATGCGGATTCTCCAAGGCTCTTGCTATTGGTAGATCTGCGGTACAGCAAATACCTGGGAACTAAAGGGCATGCTGTTCGCCAGAAGCCTTTGCCCTCTGTTTCCAAGCAGCCAGACCTCACTAACCACTTTATTTTCACGATATATTTATTTATAGTTCCAGTATCAGCTTTGTGGATCAGTTCTCTACTATGCATTCAATCTAACAAAATGTCATATCCTGGTTGTGAAGTATTAATTTAATTGGATAGGCTATTTGGTTTTTTTAAATAATAATTGCCAGAAAGTACATGCACTTGCCAGAGAGATGAAAAGGACCACCATCACCCCCCAAACTCCTGTCCCCAGGATGTGGTCACACTGCAATCTCTTCTCTGTTTTTCCATCTCACCAAGACTCGGGGCACACATGCACATGTATCTGGCTTGGATTCGAACAAGAGCCTATGAGGGAATCTGGCTCCCTACCCACAATGCTTGCTCACTGTGCTATGGGCCAGCCCTTTACAGTAGTTTTATCTAAAAATTTTCTAGAGCTTTATTCACTTCAGAAGGCATAAAATATTACTACCATTTTGGAATGTGGAAATACTCAAGATATGAAAATATTCAAGATATTATGTTTATCATCACACCAAAACCAAGGAATTGACAAGCTAGGTTATAAAGATTGGGAGTATAAAAAATTGACTTGCACCCTCAGCTGGTACATGGGTGAAGGAGAAGCACACATTTATGCTACATTTCAGGTTGGAAAACTCAAAATAAAATCGACAGCATACAGGACTAAGTCAACTTTTATGTAATTATTGGGCCTTCAAAAAAGTCAAGGCACATTTTTGCATAGGAAAACCCAACGACCCTATAAGTGGTTTACATTCTCTTTTGTTTTAAAAGTTTTATTTATACACAACTATATGCGTGCACATAAAACAAAGAGAAATATGCCGGACCCTGCTATAATCATGGGACTATCAATAAAGCAAAGGAGCGTTCACATTAGAAAAACATGCTTACCACCTTACTAAATTAGAAAATCAAATATATGTCACTGCTAGCTATATTGTGTAGAACATGAATACTTCTTCAAGTATGACAGGTAGCTATTTATTTCTTCTCTATTCTGTTCTAGGAGCCTTTCAAAACCTGAGACATGGAGGTAGGAAACAGCCTAAATCATGATTTTTAGAGCAGTGAAGAACCAGTTTCTTTAAAAATGTCCAATTCCTGGGACCAGCAGACAGTGTAATGGTTGCATTGCTGGACTCCCATGTAGCTGACTGTGGTCTGAGTCCAGGACCTGGCAGCTTAAAACTCACACTGGGCGCACATGAATGTGTGCCCAAAATTCCTAGAGAAGGGACTGTAGAGTGGCCATCGCCCTGGGAAAGTGATTTCTTGCCTTCTCTCTTTTTCTCTTAGGCAAGTACATGTGCCCTATTGCAAAAACCTATGTTAAAAAACAAACAAACAAACAAAAAACAGCCAATTCCTTAGAGACCAATCCTTTGTTTGAAATAATAAAAATATGACAATATTAAATTGCAATGAATGTTTATAAATGCTTACTCTCAATCTCTATATCATGTAGTAGCCTGTGTGTTATAATAAAGAGAAGACAATAATCACAATAAGAAATACATAGGAAGGATCTTCAAAAACTTTGGAAAATATGTATTATAAAAAAAAAAACAAAAAAAAACTACTGGGACCATTAGTTAGCTGGACTCCCATGTAGTCAACCGTGGTTCAAGTCCCAGACCCAGTGGCTTAAACTCACGCTGGGCGCGTGCCGAAGATCCAGAGAGGAGAATGGAGGAGAAGGGATTGTGGCGTGGCCATCCCCTTCCAGGGGGTGATTTCTCACTTTCTGTCTCTCTGTCTCTCTCTGTCTTTCTGGCGAGCACACAAGCCCTATAGCGAAAACCTCTCCAAAAAAAAAAAAAAAGCATGGATTTAAATTTATTTGTACCAGAAATAAATGCATATTTTAATTCTATTTTTTCACAAACTTTTTTAAAGCTCCCTCATATACAATATGGCCAAGAGGGGAAAAAATGCAGAAGGGTAGGAGGGTCCAGGATTTATAGAGGTTGCAGTTAAATAGGTGGTCATGAAACAGTGACAGATTCAAAGGCCAAAGATATCTGTAATAAATGAAAAAGGCGTTAAATACAAATGGTTTAGTTCAGTGGTAATCCAAGTGTAGAATTCTTACAAAGTGAACAGATACTTTAAAAGAAGAAATACTTTCAATTAACAAAAATGTGAAAAAATGCTCAATATCATCAATAATTAAGGGATTTAAAACAATGTGACACAGTTTTATACTTACTCACTTAGGTAAAAAAAAAAAAAAAAAAAAAAAAAAAAAGAGGGAGGGGGGAGGGGACAACAAAACTGGTACCAAGTACTTTAAGGATATGGGTTTATGTTACCAGCAGATGTAATGGTTAAGTCACCAGACTCCCATTTGGTTGACCATGGTTCAAGACCAAGACCCTGCAGCTTAAAACTCATGCAGGGTGCATGTGTGTACATGCCCCAAATCCCAAGAGGTGAAAGGAGGAGAAGGGACTGTGGCATGGCCATCCCCCCTGGGGGGTGATTTCTTTCTCTCTATCTCTCTGTCTCTCTCTGTCTTTCTGGCGAGCACATGCATCCTATAGTAAAAATCTCTCTTAGAAAAAAATAAAAAGGGCTATATATTCACAGAAACTCCTATTAATGGTGGGAAGAGTGTAAAATGGTTTAACCACTTCAAAACAATGTGGCATTATCATCAAAATTAAATATTCATACATATTTTTAATACAGCAATATTTACTCCAAGGTACATAACAAAGAATGATCACAAACATTTACTGAAGGACTCTGTAAGAACAAAAATATGGAAACAACTTAAATATACATTAATATGAGAGAGGATAAACTATGGTATATTCACATAATGGATGGACATACAGTTGTCAACATAAACTAAAGCAATATATGCACATTATGTACGTATCTACACAATGTCACAGTAAATTAAAAAGTAAGTCTCCAGTAAATTCAATAAGACCTTTTAATAAAGTTTAAAAGCAGGGTTGGCAGGAGGTGTGGTAGTTAACACACTGAACTCTCTCATGGCCAACCATAGTTCGAATCCTAGACCTGCAGGTATGCTTTCTCACTTTCCCTCTTTCTCTCTCTGGTCAAATTTTAAAAAATAATAATAATAAAGTTAAATAATTTAAAAAATAGAGTTAAAGGCAATTAAAGACCAGAAGACTTAAAAACATAAAGATTTTAATACTAATTCACACAGACTGTGAAAAAAATATATAATGGAATCCACTAACACTGCATAATAAAAATCCATAAGTAAAAAGCCAGCTGAGTTGATGAAACAAAATACTATTAAAGTCTTCAATTTTATTAAATCCAAAAAAGGGTAGTACAAAGAAATAATGGAAGGATGAGAGAAAAAAAATCAAATGCCAAAATGGTAGGCTTAAACTTAACCATGTACACAATTAAATATAAAT